GTGGGGACAGGGAGGCGGAAAGCAGATCTGCTCACCTCTCATGGCGTCCAAAGGAGTTTTGTATCCGGGCCCACAGCTTCCACACTTCGCTGCGGAAAACAAGGAAATCGGGAAGAGTCATAACTGCCAAGGCTGCTTCCCATCGAACTTGCAGGAATTCCCACAGCAGGAAACCAGCGCTGTCCCTCAATCCCTCTGTCTTAATCCTTAAGCTTCCCGACTTCGTTGGAACCTTAACTGAGCCATCAGGCTGCCTGGTCAGAACCTGTGCAAGTGTTTTTTATTTTTCTATTCCAGATCCTCGGTCGGCCTCTGAGACTAATTTTTAAAGGGGAGCTGCGAGGCTCTTTTTATATTCTGGAGTTAGGAAGAATCGGAGTTGATGAGTACATTTCAAATCACAATAAAAGTCAGATGTACACGGTAACTTGTAAAACCTCCAACTTACATCCCAAAATAAGACTAAATTTCCAGCACAAGGCAACAAAACGCCTAGTGAAGTGAAACAGCCCTATTGCTTTGTAAACAAGCAGGCTTGTGAAAACATCGCTTCTAATCCAATAGAAACATTGCTCCTGACTTTGAGACAGTTTTGCCGGTAAATTGAACTCACTTGTTAACTCTGCCTGCAGGTCACAGTGGAACATTTCTGCGTTGAAGTGTCTGCTGCACCGCCTGCACTCATTCACTCGTACATCACAGTGCATCAGTCAGTACAGTGACTAGTGAGCAGGAAGGGCCGCCTCACGTCACAAATCGTGGGAACTCGAATGTGAGTTTGCGACAACAAGGCGACTCACAGTACTTCCACAAAGTTCACGATTTCGTGCTCAATTCAGAATTTGTCAAATTCTTCTATGACGTCAATGAATTGATTCTGTTACCGAGATGTAATAACCTGTCTGAGAAATGGGCTTTAACAGCTAACCTGTTCAGGAACTGAAAATAAACAGATCCACTTCAACACAGAGAGACCAATTAAAGGTTCAAGTAGATTCCCGAGGACTCGGTGGGAGGGGACTGTGCAGCAGCAGGGTGGG